TCCCCTCCGCCCCGTCAGCCTCCCCCCATACCCGGCCACATCACCCTCGCCCCATCCTGTCCCCCCCGCCCCCCCTCCCGGTCATTCTATGTCCCCCCACGTTCCCCCTATACCCCCCCATTGCCCCCCCACATCCCCTCACGCCCCTCCTTTGCTCACCGCTGGATCTGCTGCAGACACGGCACCACCAACACCCGTCCGCCCGCCACCATCACGGGGGGGCTGCGGCAGAACCCTGCGGGAGGGGTGGGGGGGGAACGCGGAGACGCGGGGTGAGGCCCGGAGCGCCGGTCCCGCCACCCGGAGCTGTGGGAGGGGGGTTGGTTCCCCACTCACCCGACACCACCATGGCCTCGTTGGGGCCGCAGGTGAAGAACATGGCGGTGGGGGCGCGGGGACGGCGCCCGGTGCGCGTGTGGGAAGGGGCGCGAGCGGGAGCCCAAACCCGCAGCGGGGATCTGCCGAGCTCCGCCCGCTGGTGCCTCACCCACCGCACTTCCGGCCGCTCCGAGCCGCACTTCTGGTTTCCCTTTGCCGCACTTCCGGCAACTCTGAGCCACACTTCCGGCCACTCCGAGCTGCACTTCCGGTCTCCCCTGGCCGCACATCCGGCCGCTCCGAGCCACACATCCGGCCGCCCTTTGCCGAACTTCCGGTTGACCCGGAAGTGCGCTACGCCCCCGACCTGGGGTGGGGGCAGAGACCCTAAAAGCGGTCCCCAAAGTCTCCAAAAATGGCCGTTTGGCCTCAAAGTTCCCTCAGGAGCCCCCGGGGCCGGGAAGGGCCCCCGGCTGCCCTTTGTTCCTCAAAATGATCGATTTGTCTCAAAACTGCCCTCCAAGCCGTTGGTCACAGCAGCGCGGTGAAAACCGCACGAAATAAGCCGTGACGCGGCCGCCCACCCAGAGGACAACCGGGGACCGTTTGGGTGCAATTTAACGGATTTCGGTTAAATTTCTGTTCTGCTTTCCCGACAACTCCGGGCGCGCGCCCACAACAACCATGGCGGCTCCGCCTCAGCAGCGCAGTGCGCATGCGCTCTACCGCCATGACCGCTCCGTGCATGCGCAACGCTCTGACTGAAGGCACTCCGGGCGGAAGTGCGATGCCCAGCTGTGGTTCTGCGCAGGCGCGACCGGAAGTGAGGCCTCGCTCACCGCCCCTGGATAAGAGGCGCGGAAACCCCTT